TTATACTATCAAGACTGGGAATTTTCTACAATTTTATCTTCGACAACACCATGCACCCCCGGTCCGACACTAGATATGAGAGTATGGATAACATCCGCTCAACACCTGCGTCACCCAGTAAACATTTATGAATGGATGAAATATAAACCTTGATGGTTTCTCTTCACCCAACATCTTTTCCTTTCATCTCATCTTCCCCTGACGAGACATGACACCAATTATGCACAGAATGCGGGACCGTGGGGGCAGTATTTGTTTTCCCAATGCCAGAGTACAAACGAATGGTATGCAATCATGTTTGACTTGCAGGTCTAATGATGGCACGGTATCATGCCGACTGAGTCGCAAAAATGCAAACCTGCTTTAAAGGGATCCGGTAACTTTGTCTTAGATCCTTTAAAAAAATCCTTGATTTAGCTCATGCTGCAATGATAATTATATCCATTTAGGTGAGTCAGGAACCCTAAGAGTTTTACAAGCCGATCACCTGCCTGATTATCAAGATATTTATGATTGAAAATCGAAATCAAACTTTGCGTTTGCCAAACGGTTTTCATAAAACTGTCTATTGGGGAAAACGAGTATGGTAAAACCAGTCACTCAAAGGCTTTTACTTTTTTGAGGCACTTCTTGATCATTTTGAAGCGCAATTCTTTTAGGACTTCAATATAACACCATATCACAGACACTGATAACATGTAGGGCTGTGCATCTCAGATTTAACATTGTTAAACGATCCCTTTAAAGATGCATTGCCATTACTACGTGGTGATCACAGGATATACCCCAATGATGTTTGCTCCAGGCTTCAAAGATAGAGAGGGCTTAAGTTGTGATTGGGTTCTAGGCTTGTTTTGTGGTTAGGTGAGGTGTTGGGTTCAGGGTAGATATTGAACTAGAGTTAGACATTGACCGTAGAGAGTTTAAAGATGATGAAACACATGTATCATAGCACAAACTCAATGCTGATTATTTATTACTAAGACATTCATGGGTATTTTATTACTTTCTTTTTTATATAACAAATTGAGAACTCTAGATTTAAAATATATGCAGTTTTTCCATTACAGAAAGGCTATAGAATTTATGAGACATTTTGTGCATGAAATGTCTTCATTACATACATTAGAATACCCTATTTCCATTGGCTGAAATAATGGATATTAAGGATGCATCTTCATTTTCTACTATGCCCAATTCTGTGGGTTAATTGCTCTACTAGCTCTCCTCTTCCATTTTCCTCTAATTTCCTATGTGTATGAAATGTTTTATAGTTTGTTTATATTATGTTTTTTTTTATTTATTGTATATTTTGTGTATTTTTATGTGTATTGTAAGATATTTGAAATGTAATTTGTGTACAGCAGGGCTCCCTTGGAAAGCAGGCCTTGGGGCTTGAATGGGACCACCCTGCTTTTATAAAGAAGACATGAATACTACTAACATTCTTTTGATGCTCCAAGCAGGTAGCCTAAAAATACCGTAGTATTTTTGATGGCACCTAGCTATCAAACCATGATGTAACACTTATCCAAGCCATGCAAATGTTTAGGTAATAAGTACAGTATATACACCCACCCATCTTGTGTAAGTGCCAAAATACCATCATCAAACCAGTTGATGCATAACATGCTTTTGTTGTGTGCTGTGCTTGAATAGTTACACAAAATCTGTTTAAAGTGGAAAAACAGTTCTTAGAAAGCAACAATTTAATTTTACTTTATGACATAAGTAAGAAAAGCAATTGCCTCTCTTTTCCCTGTATGTATTTACTGACTTCTATAATTCTAGGCAAGGCAATGAAAGCATCGTCTTTAAATTCTTCTTTTTTTATGGTCATAAACAGTTCACTATATCTTGATCATTGTTCTGTTGGTAATGATCTGTGCAAGCTTTGCATCACTGCTCCTAAAGAAATAATTATCCTTAAAGAAATGATCCTTTTTATTTAAAAGGTTATCTCATACTTCTGATAGGGTAGACCAGGGGGCGTTTCACAAAACTTGTCATCAGTGACAAATGACAGTTTTTGTTATAAGCTACTGAAATCCTTGTTTCTGATTGGTTATCAGCAGATTTGTCATTAATTTTTGTCAGTTGTCATTGAAAAAAGGCTTTGAGAAATACCCCCCTGATGGATGTGAGTTCAAACCGATCAAAATATGTAGACTTAAGAACTCAATCATTCACACCCTTACCAAGTTTTGTAATGTTTAAGTATGTTTTTAATTCATTTGTACCAATTTTTGTTTCTTGAGAATGTGCCGTATAAGAGCTTACATCTAAAGGCGTTCAACAAAGGCCCTCATTCAACCCGTCCACTTTTCATTCTTGAGTTACAAAAAACAACAACAAGAAACAACAAGAAAAAACATCAAATTTACAAGGGGTATGAATAATTTAATTGTTAACTGTAAGTGTAGAGTGTAATGTACGGGGCATAGATCCATAAATATTTAACATTATATCGGGTCTACTCTGTGATGGGTGGCTGCATTGCTGGTTGATCGCATCATTCCGATCTCGGCAAGCGTATCATCTAGCCTAGCGACAGTCAGACGAGGGAGATAGACAGGAATGCTGATGTGGATCCCAGTCGGTAAGGGGTACACATTAGCGCCCCTATCATTCAACCATCTCCCTCCACACACCACTACATGCACCTCCCACACTCCACTAATAGATAACCTTACACATTCCCCAAGGGTCATTGGAAGGTAAGCTACCGAGTGGTTGGAAATGATGTTATACAATATGTAGCGCATGTGATTTGGTTTATATACCTATTCCTATCTCTTCATGGTTAATGCCTTCACAGCATTGGAATAGGAGGTGAATGAAATTCAATGAGTGACTTCTTCCCCCTCCCACACCCACACCACCCCATCTCCTTTAGCAAAGTTCTTCTTTTCCCCTTTCTCTATTATATATTTTCTGTATTTTCTCTCTTCCCCCCACCCCCTCTCTCTCATTCTCTCTCTCTCTCTCTCTCTCTCTCTCTCTCTCTCTCTATATATATATATCTCTCTCTCTTTCTCTCTCTTTCTCTCTTTCTCTCTCTCTCTCTCTGTCTCTGTGTCTCTCTCGGTCTCTCTCTGTCTCTCTCTCACACTCTCTCTCGCTTATGCACAAATGAACTCATTCTCCCCGTCTCTTCATTTAAGTATTTTCTCTGCTATAAAAGACAGAGTACCTAAGAGGCAATAGTCTTGAATGTTGAGAAAATGTAACTATACAATCACTAGGATATAAGATCCTAAGGGACTCCACACTACTTAAGGATTACTGAAATATTTATACGATGCTGATTAAAGATCTCACAAGGGGGGGGGGGGGGCAAGTTGGGCAACACATCTACATCTACATAAGATCTATTCCAGGAAATACACTGAGACATAGGATTTTGATGATGCAATTTTGTGATTTTCACTTGTTTCTCTGAAACTTTATACTCATATTCATGTGAGAGACAATATCTTAACAAAGAAACCCCTTGGACTACCAGTATAAGATCCGTTTGATGACATTCATAGGATTCTGCCTAAAATGTAATATCCTAAATGATTCTTTTGTTTGGTAAACAGTACACTTATGAGGAAAGTGACTAGCAATTTCATATTTTCACTCACTGAGACCCTTAGTCGCCAGAGTCGATTGGGTTTTATCTAATACTATTGCTCCCTCTTTCTCACGCCATTCATGCTTTCAATGTTCACTGATCTTCTGGTTGATTCTAGCTTGCCTCACGAATGCACTCTGATCAAATGAAATATTGAGATATCCCCAAAGGCTTTCTGTTTGTACCTAAACCTAGACAATACCTTTAAAGTCCAACAAACTTTGCAAACAGGAAGCATCTACTTAATAATCTTACTCCTCTCGCTGTCAATCCTGTCATATTCAATATCAATCCTCCATCTACCCTCAGGCACGACATCATGCATACAGGCAGCTCTCCTGCTCTCCTGCCTCTCTAGTTCAACTTTTCAGCATCTCCCATCTCTAAACTTTGTTACCTCTAAACATTGTTTAAATAGGTTATCATGTTCCCTACCCACTTATTCCAAACACATTTCATTCAACATTACAAATTCTTTTCTGTTGTATCTGTAACTATGATCTTCAATATCAATACATTGCATCCAAATGGAGTACATGCCAAAATATGTGAGAATAATGTTTCATAACCATAGTCCACATAAAAACACTCAATGTACACTTGCATTTGAATAAATTGTGAGCGTTTCACATTCTTTTCATTAGATTAAGCTGTAGTCCCTGTAACTAAAATAAATGTTGTATCATTTGTGTGTATTAGTATGTATTCACGATTTTTGTTGCCAGGAATGTATATATCATACTGTCACTTAGCCAGGTTTTTAATTGCCAACAGACATGTTCTTTCACAATGAAACAGGTGGATGGTTCCATACCTAGGATGATCATATGCTGATTGCCAGAAGGACATTAGCTGCTATCCTACAGCATAGGGTTAACACCCCTCTGGCTCTAAGAGATAAATGGGTTCTTCACATGCAATGGGTCTCCTGAGGAGGAACCCCATCCTACATCCTATTCAATGAACAGTGTTTCCACTTGATTATCTATGGGAAACATTCGAGGGGTACATGCACATTTGCTCAAACTTTTCTCTCATCAATTAAAGAGAGACACTTAGGGCTTTGGCCTGCTTGTAGTTCGATTAGGCTTCGTGTTTGGGTTAAGCATAGTGTTTTAGTCCTGGACCCCGTCTAACAAAGAGTGATCCAAATCAATCGTAAGTCCTTCAATCAATCGCAAGTTTGCAGTCTCCTATTACATAGTTGCGATTGATATAAATCGCAAATAAGTTGCAATTAATATCATCTCTTTGTAAAACGGGGCCCAGGGTTGAAGTTAACCTTGGGTGGTATTGAAATAAAATGAATAATATGAAATGAACAAGCAGCAACTGCAACTGTTGCTAGAGGATGTGTCATACAACCAGTGGAAGAACATACCTTGTAATAAGCACTGCATTATCATGGTTGGGAAAGACCAGCATATCGTTGGAGATGTTCATGTTGTGGTTTGGAGCTGGGTTCATGGCATGTTGCCATTCACAGAAGCTCTGCAATGATTTACCAGCCAGATGACTCAAGCTCAGGTTTCTCTGTAATGGTAGGAGGAACCAAAGGTAGGTCATCATAACAAATATGCCACTGTCAAGGGCAGTGAAGGATAATGGCATTTAAAGATAAAATCCTTGTAACCCGGTATTTAAAGGCATTGTTTAACAATGTTAAATCTGACATACATGGCCCTACGTGTTATCAGTGTCTGTGATATAATATTAAAGCCCTACACAAATTGCGCTTCTAAATGATCATGAAGTGCCTCCAAAAAGTAGACTGTACTGTTATAAAAACTGTAAGGAAAACAAATTTTAAAATTTTGAATTCCAATCATAAATATCTTGATAATCAGACAGGCGATCGGCTTGTAAAAGTCACAGGGTTCCTGACTGACCTTAAGGTTTATAATTGTCATTGCAGCATGAGCTAGATTTTGTTTCAGAATCTGAGAGAAATTTACCCAATCCCTTTAAAGGCTGCACTTGTATTCCTCACTCTTTGAATCAAGAGCATGCCTGCCTAATATCCGATGCATTATCGATCTAAGCATACTTCACATTTTGAAATGTGATATACAGTGTACCTGGGGTGAAGAAAAAACAACCTAAAATCACCCTGAATTAAAGCATATATCAACACAACTAAATGTTAATGTAAAAAAAAGAGTTATATTGGCTTGTGCATAATCAGCTAATTTCCTTAGTAATTGAATAAATCTACTCTGGCAACATTTGGCAACATTCTTACTCTCTACTGGCAATAGGATAAACTTTGTATTTGCTAGCCCCGTCTCTTACTCAAATTGGAAACATTTCTTACCTGGTCTTGTGTAAGGAGCAGCATCCTGGTGACGACAACGTTGATAGCATTCTCTATACTCCCATCATGGTAGAGATTGGCCACCTGACCTCAACAAAAGCATAGAACAATACATGCATATCATTATTTCAATCATGTAACAATATATTTGAATAGAAATTGAAATTAAGTATTTATTTTTCCATTGGGAAATTTGAGTTTCACTTGTAAAAGTTTACAGAGATCAATTTACAAAAAGAAATATAACATATGATAATAAGTACATGTAAAAATGCTTTATTATTGCCAGAAAAAGGCAACTCTTCAGAGAATTCAAATTTCGATTCATAATACTCATAATTGGACAATCAGTTAAGAGAGAGAGCAGTATGTGCAAGTTGAATATTTTGAGTAAATCCCACTCATAATAATGACACATAAAACGTGTCACATAAAATAACACATAAAATAATCTCAACAATACCTTCAATTCTAATCCTAAATATAGAAACTACAGGATATTACAGATAATTTGTTTGTTGTTTTCTTGAACGATTCCTTCTAACATAATTGCGTCACTTCATTCATCATTGCTATGCACATCAATGTTTGGAGGAATAGGATACAGTGTTTATCAAAAAGAATCAAAATCGTTTTCCACACAACTTGAAAGAAATGCTCAACATTTATCTGAGAAAAGTCAACCTAGATTTATGACAGCTTGCCAGGCAGACAAGCTAATGATCTCTGGTTGATATAAGATCTCCAGACAGACTCCTAATCTCAACAAAGTTTATCCTGGAATCCATCCAGATGTCACACAACTCTCTCTGCTTCAAACGTTTGGATGCCGCCCCAAAATGCTATCCACAATAAAGGGATACATTACTACAGCACCTTGTGTTGGGGAGGTATTGGACTTCTAAATAATCTAGTAAATGTTGTAGCACTCTGATACATTGTAAATGTTTCTATGAACTGTATCTTAAAAACAAACCACTTAAACAATTAAAAAAAAAAAAAAATCTACCAGGCCACCCTTTCTTCAACTCCATTCCACTCTGCTCCTGCCCCTACTCCCACCCTTATTTTGTCTCTCTCTCTCTCTCTCTCTCTCTCTCTCTCTCTCTCTCTCTCCCTCCCTCCCTACCCATCCCCCTCCTGCTTATATCTTCCCCCACCTCCCATTCCCCTCTCCCTCACTCTCTCTCAAAGTCTCCCTTCACCCATCTACCACTCGTACTGCAGAAGCCATCGGTCAGAGCAGAGGCCTGTGACTGACCCACACCAAGTCAAATTGTAACGCAGATGAAATGAAGTGATGACACTGATATACATCTAGGATAATTACAGTAGTCATGGAGTATGGTATGACAGGTTCACTTACACTATTAAAACCCCCTCCTAACTCATACCAGCTTTCATATACATTATACATGTATATGACCTATCTCATACAGTGTATTCCCAATCTCTTGGTTACTCTGCTACAGCAAGATTTCAAATTGCCACAGTAACAAAACAAAAATTAAATGTTCTGTATGTTCCAAGTAAATATGAACTTAAAAATATCTATGAAAGTATGATTCAAGACTCTCAAATTGTGTTCCATTTGTGGCAATGAGCTCTACTGATGATTGAAATTTAACCCACTGACTACGGGTACAGGGTGGTTCCTGTATTAAAGGTAAAGACCAGTTATGGTCATGCGATTGCATTGTGAAAGAAACATTGTGGAATCGATCAGAAAAGGTTAATCATCTAGCATCTAGCATCTGCAAGGTTCTGGAATCATCAAAATGATAAGAAATTTGGCCCATTCTTTGTAAAGTTACAAGCACTATACACAGAAAGATGTATATGGGACTACCCTATATCTCTCACAGACCATGAGAGAAACAAATTTACCAAATATATGAATTAGTAGGCGGTTTCCCTGCAAATTTTTTATCATCATGTATTAGTCAAAACATATTCTTTCACATGATTGGTAATGAGAGCTTCCATTTCATTTTTTAAATTGGGGCGTTTCCAATACTGGTCTTTACCTTTAAAGCCTATGGGAATGAGAGCATTCAGTAGTCAACGGGTTTAGAGGATACACATACTTCTTGCCCAATCATCATCAGAGCGATTCTTGATATTTCTTTTAATAAACAGTTAGAGATGAAGATTTACTGATCTTTGCTTCACGCACTGGAAGATGACTTATAAATACAAAGGTGTCCAAACGCAAAGCTAATTCACATATCACACATTCCCTACACTTAATGAGGATCGTCTAATGAGATAACCATTTACGTCAAGTAATGGCATCGATCCTTTAACAGTACTACAAAGTCTATGTTCATAAAGCGAGCTAATATTGCTGGTAACTTGGTCTCCCTAAGTTTGTCCCTCAACTTTCCCCTCCCACTCCCCTTCCTCTTCCTCCTTCCTAAGCCCACAAATAACTTATGAAACTAGAGTTTGCTGCTTTTATAGACTAGAAACTATACTCAGGGTACTGTACTAAAATTAGACACATACAAATGTTATCTGTCTATGAGTACATGCATGCTGCATGGAGATCCATTTTAAATTTTTGAAGAATGCTAGTTTTTGAATAAATTTGTCATTACCTGGTACTTGAAAATTTGTATTCTGTATTTTGTATCCCCTGTGGTTGTTTCATTATTCTTGTCTATTTTTTTCATGAACCACCAAAGGACTAGTTTTATTATTGCATGGTCACCTACGTGTATATATGTACAGTACATGTATTATGAAATTTCAGTGATATTGTAAATCAATTTACTGCATTGTATAATTCATTTATCGTAATGATTAATCAGAAAACTCATTTCTTAGAGATCCCAGTCTTCAATATCTCTGACACAATCAACATATGTTTGTGGTTGATTTGTTTAAAGTTAAAGTGTGCTATCATCTCCTGTACACTCAACACTGGCACGTTGGTATTATAAGCTCAAACTGGTTCCCAGTGCTTGGCAGTCATCCAATTAACACTTCCATAAACTGCTTTATAATTTTCAACAAAGAGCATTCAGTTGTCCAATTAAGATACAACAAAATGTGCACTATTTGTAAAAAATAACGATGAACTCAGAACTTAGGAAAGGTATGGGGTTACATAATGTAATTTCATGCTTAATTACAAAGTCCTTACAAATCAGACTGCATCACATAAGATACATCCTCGTCATTTCTGAAATCATCAATACCTTTCATAGAACCAAGTGTCAAGAGTAATAAGTGGGACTAGAGCATGACCTCAACCCAATCACATGCCATATACCCTATCCTGCTCAGGCTCTCGACTCTCAATCCAACATGGCAGTTATGTCTTCCTTTCTTATCAATCGCACCTCAAACTCAGCAATCACTGCCACAAACAGGAGGGAAGGAGGTATGAATTCAACCTCCTGATAAGTTTTACCCTCTCCTTTGTCTATGTGATGCCTTTCATTTTTTGTTTCATCCTTATTACAGTTTGGGGTCATCATATATTTTATTACAGTCTGTAGCTCTAGAGATTAGAGAAGGTTATACCAGAGCTGTCAGCTATAACAAGGGCCCCCGTCTTACAAAGAGTTGCCACTGAACCAAATCATCGCAAGTTTGCAGTCTCCTACATGTATCTCTTATGTACACAGTTGCGATCGATATTATATTGATAGTATCAACTCTTTGTAAGACGGGGCCCAGAACTTAGCATCAGTATTTGTTGAGGAAATCAGAGATTCCTAACATATACAAAAATTGAAATAACAACAGGAGCTTTGTAATCAGAGTTTTTCATGCAATCTGCAGTATGATTTACAACAAATTAGTGTGGTTCTCGGGGCATCATTTCAAGGAAACAACATAAGTTTAAGTTCCCTGACATACCATTAGACTTCTTAATGAAATTGACACACATACTTCAATGAGATGTCAGGAAACTTGTACCTAGGACAATTTTGTGAAACAACACCCAGGCTACTTACAATGTTCATGAGAGTGAGGAGGTAAGATTCAATACTGGTCTCTCCATGGTAACCCATCATCATCTTATCAGCGACCACCAGTGTTTCTACGTTCCTCTCGGTGCTTAGACTGCTCACTCGCTTCCTTCGGTAGTGGGCCAGGTATTCAGGATCCTGCAGCTTCTTCTCTACATCATGGGCCAGAGAGAAATCACTGACGGATTCCCACCACTCCTGCTTCTCCTCACGCTCTGCAAGATAAAAAAAAAACAAAGATGGCTACTTAATGAACGTGATACATTAGTAATCTAATGACAGCAGATAGTATACCTATGCAGAGCCATCTATCTATACAAAGAATTTGGCCAACCCGGTTCGAGTTGGACACCATATGGCGACTACTGCTTTGTTGGGCAAGCACAAAACAAAAGAACATATGCCATGTTGTGACCCAGTGAAACCAAGTTGGCCAAACTCTGTGAAAAGAGGCTCTGTGTCGGTGTATCATATTTCTTTGTTTTCTTCATTCAATTACAAATGTCCATTTTTAACAATCTGACAATGATACTTTGTTTTTATATAGTACGTGACAAATTGTATTGTGGACAAATTGGGACTCACCCATAGGAAAAGAGGGTCCAGCTAGTGATTTCACTTTACATTTGTTACCTCAGAAATACTTACATGTACGCCACTAGATCGATTTAGGTAAGGGTGGGGTGTGTGTGTGGCGGGTGGGGGGGGGGGGACAAGGCAACACTTAAACCTAACAATATTTCTCTTTGATTTATCAATTAATGAAAGGGCTCTACTTTTATACATGCATATTTAATAAACAATTATATTCGTTCACTGTGATTTGAAGAAAAAAATCCATGTTCTTCTTCCACTTCAAGTCAGCGGAAGGAAATTTAAGTGCAATTTGAAGATATCCTCATGGCAAATGAAGGCATGTACATGGATGGATGGAAACCTAAGTATGTGATTGGTTTCCTAGTTTATGGAACAGGCTATTTCCTATCAATTAGTTGGATACTCCACGATGTACACACACAGACACACACATCTTCACATCATTCCCTAATGAGATATAGGAACAGGTGTAGTGGGATTTACATGCCGGAAACAACTTACAGGAACCTACCCCAAGATAGCATGCATGGAGGAACCCGCATGGAGTAACTCGCATGGAGGAAGCAAGGGCATCACACTTTATAGCACAACCTTTGCCCTTGCCTAGCTCTTCCCACCTTTTCTCTGTCTATCTTCTATCTCTTCTAGCCTATCTTTCCTTTTCCCATCCATCTGTTGCTATGTTTCCTTTCTGCATCTCTCTCTCTCTTTCTCTGTCTACTGAAGATAGCAGAAAATCATGCCTCTTACTCTATCTCAATTTTTTCCCTCTCTTTATAATTCCCTCTCTATCCTCTCATCTCGTCCAGCTTTCTATTCCATTCAGGTCCATCTCTCCCTTTTTCTTCCCTCATTTCTCACTAAATCCTGATCTGCTCCCCTTTTCTCCCTCTCTTCTCCCTTTCCCTCTCTCTCTCTCTTTCTCTCTCTCTCTCTTTCTCTCCTCTCCTCTTCTCTTCTCTCTTTCTCTCTCTCTCTCTCTCCCTCTGTCCATGAGATAGAACAGACATTGATTTCTTTTAAGAAAATGACACTTTACAAACTTGATATGTTATTAGTCTTTTCTATGTGGTAAGCTTTGAATGTGCAGTGTCAGTTCAGCTCTACGTCCTGAAGCATTGCTCCTATGCAAGCGGTACAGGTCATGAATGAGAAGTATGTTTTCATATCTTCATATCAGTTTAACAGCTGGGTCATTCCATGAGGTTGGGTAAAAATACTATGATGATTTCACTTTAAAATTGGTATGAGATCTTCACCTACATATGAAAGATGTGGAGAGGGTGCACATTGTGCGTGAATGATGACGGGGGTAAAAATAATTTGTAAAGCGCTTAGAGACAATATTTCGTAATAAGCTCTTTATAAATCCAGATTGTTACATTATTATTATGTAATCATCCATTCAATATTTTCATGCAATTAATAAATATAGTAGTACCTTGTTAGAATCATTCAAGTTTCAGTTGCTTCTCTTCAAAATTTTAACTAAATATGCATTTATTTATTTTACCATTGCTACATGGACATCCCATTTATAACATTACATAAACTTTGGGTTCATAACATTGATTCATCATGAAGCTAGAGTACTTCTAAACATAGTTAACTATGAATTTCATGCTCAACCAAATTTAAGCAACCATCGTTATGGTTGATAATATACATGGGTTCTCACTTCTGGTATGAAAACCCTTGGAATGACCCAGCTGCAATAACTACCCCATGTCAATGCTTCCTAACTCTTTTATCCTCCCCAGTCCAGGTTTGTATCAGACACATACCATCAAACATCTAACGATAATCATAGATGGCCAATCAATGTACATCTACCAACAATTAGCCTTTGAACTAAAACTCATCATTAGAACAACTTCATATAGTGGCGACCACCATACTAGTATTCAAAATTCAGCCAGCAGTAATAAATAAAATTGCATAAAGATACTGACATATATATAATGCACTATGATCTGAAATAGCTCTTAATCTGTTTGTTATAGTTCTTTTGACTCAAAGTGATTAGGGATATTATATTGTAAAATATTGATGATTATATCATTGACTTTGTCACACCTGAACAGAACAGACAGAATTGCCCAGACGTTACACAAACACGCTAACTATGTGGAACACCTAGGGGAAAACTCAAGCATTCAAGAAAGATCACTTCACCATAGGCTATCCCTGTCAAGACCTCATAAACAGAAGAAAGAAGGAGAATATCAAAGATTGTTGTTTGGTAGCTGGCACACAATGATGTCAGGAGGGATGTCAGGAGGGATGTCAAAGGCAAGGTCATATGTGAATGGAGTTTTGACAAGGGGAAGTTGAACAGAGGTGGATGTGATGTATTAAGGATGATTGTCCAACTATACTGAGTGTGCTCCCTCTAAAACAGTTCCTTCGTCCTCATGGGAATAACTGGAAAAGTGTCCCTTTTGTCAGTCATGGTCAAATTAATTTTCAGTGCATGTATAATCTATCCTGACTGACCATAAAGAATTTTTAAAAAAAGGTTGTAAAGGGATTTTCACAACAAAACCTATTCAGATAGAATATGCTTTGCTGTTATGAAATATGAAAGAAACACTGAAGTGAAGGCTGATAATTACTTATAGTTTTGACCTACAGTATTTCATTTTTATTCTGATATCTTATCCAGATGTATGGTTTCCAAAGTCTCTAAAGAGCAAATTTTCTAATATTTATCCCTAAATCCACTGTGAGATTGGAAACATTTGATATGAATCAGGAAGACCCTCTCATAGATCTCACAGAAATCTTAAATGTGATTGGCTGTTTTGGAAGTTGTTGTGTGATTGTCATCAAAGTCGACAACCAATCATAAATAACTTGATAAACCCTGATCAAAAAGCTTGATTGTGATTTGTTGTTTGGTGACTATCAACAAGCTTTGCAGCCAATCACAAAGCCTATATATATATATATATACAGAGCCTATATAGAGCACATCAGATGGCTTGACTTTGATTGGTTGTCTTGGTGATTGTCAGATTGGATGGCTATGTGAATATAATTAAATAAAGACTAGCTGCAATTGGATGATAGTTGTTTCTGTTAATAACTAGACTAATTTCAAAATAAATAGTGTATATATATATATATATGTGTAAGTATACTCCTTGCACATCTCCTGTTTGCTTCCATTTATGAGATTTTAGTCTAGACAAGAAGTAAATAAACAGAAAGTAGTAGTGGCACAGGTCAACATGTCACAAGAAATGCCAGTATAATCTTGAAAGGTTCTCACAGCTTCTTTGACCGAATTACAGGCTAGCAAATTTCTGCCCTATTAAGTTTAATAATAGTCCCTCATGTAAACATATAACATTAATTCAACAGGAACAACAGCTCCACTTCTTATAAGGTGAAGTTCAACCAATATCCGTTGTACGCCTAATGTAGGGTTACTCTCTCTAATATTGAAAGTTTTATGCCTGGCAGGAGAAAAAATAAACCTGACCCCCTCCCCCTCAAGTCTCTAAACATTCCTGAGTTAGTCCCCTTTTCAGCTTGTAAAAATATTTGGCAAAGACATACACAAACCGCCTATTCAGCATTGAAGAATATCTCATGTTAGAGAAGTTGTCGTCCTAAAATAGTCATGCCAAAGAAAGTAAAGGGAGGGGCTATTTGAACGTCTAAAGTAACATCAACATAGAGCTTGCTCATACTGCCTAAGAGCATATTTATAAGTTGTTTCTAGGAATAGAGTGCCAGGCTAAATGTTCTACTTGCCATTGCCCTATATAATGTACTCTCCTGATAATCCTCTAGAATAATTTCAAGTTCATAAAGCTATCTTGTACAAAGTAGTAGTAGTGGGTAAGAGGGTTTGGGGATGGGGGGGGGGGGGTATTAAATACAGCTTGCTACTTAATTTAGGCTTCGGCTTCTAATCATAAAGAGATATTGTGTAGATGCACTTCCAATGCATATTTCTATTTGGTAACGATTCTTTTCTGTACAGCAAGATTTGTAAATGGCAGTGTTATTTGCGTCAGCAATCAGCAACCATCAAAATCACAATTTTTTGTTATAAACTGTTACTCATTATTTTACCATTTATTGATCCTTTACCTGCCATCAAATTTCAAAGTACCTTTCACTAATAATTAAATTTGGGGAGATAAATTCAAATCATTGGGCCTTTTTAAACTATTAATTTCAAACAATATACCATGATTTCTAATTATACATTCCTAAATCTGTCTTCAATTTCCAGGAGAAAAACAAGGATTTCTTTGTCTGCAATAAAACAAGCAATACATATTTGGATGGTTTTAATGGCTACAGCACAGAAAGGGTTAACTACATATCCGTGAGATAGAGAGATATATAGGTTTAGATGTTCACTCCTGATGGCCTTGAGATTGACCCATGCAATCAACATCAACTTACCAATCAATTAATATCACTTAAACATCTGCTACTAACAGGTGCAGGGAACCTATCCCTAGTCCCACCGGTCAACTAAGACTAATTCAAACCATGCCTCCAATTGATTTAAGGTTCCGTCTAATGCGGTGCAATGTACCCGAAAACAAGTGTCTTGGTAATTTGGGAATGAATTCTTGGTGGGTACCTTGC